TGGCAAAGTATTTACCGGTAGGTTTATTTTCATTTCTTTATAAAGTTAATTAAGAAAAAACAAAAAACAAAATTTATGACGACCAAGCAGCCGACAGCGAGTTAAACATGTTTGATCCATTGATTGATTTATAGCCTCTCAAATCAACACTTTACTTGGCTACAATAAAATCCATAGATATAAAACAACTTAAGCATATCACACAGACAGTTAACGTTAGTTTAAACGTTTATTGTCATTTTTGAAAAGCTGAGGCAAACTGCTCTGCTGCTCAGTCGCAACAGCGCTCGCAAACTAAATGAATTTATAATATAGGCTACAATACAGAGAATGCAATCTAAACAAATCAAATAAATTACATTAAAAACAAACATGCAGGTTATCTTACCTCAAAAATCAAGTCTTCACTACAGAACATGGCCATTTCCAATAGTTTCCAACAGACTCATGAAAATAAAGTCCAATCAAACAAAAAACAACCTCCTCCTAACATGGCTAAGAACAGTCTCAGAGCATCGTGAAGAAAAAGCACAGCATCCACAGTGGAAGGTTTTAATCCAGTCGTACTTTTTCCAGCTGCGCTGAAGTCACGCTCGCTACCATAGCGGGACACTAGAACGAGCCGGTCGCGCGAATCTCAGATCGCGCCGCCGGGAAACCTGTGTGTGTGTGTGTGTGTGTGTGCGTGAGCGTGAGCATGAGCAGACTGTCATGTGTCAGTCTTATGTCAGTGTGATAGGTTATAAAACGTCTTTCTATGTTTGCTTTTCAATCGTCATCTTCTCATGTTTTATTTTAATTAATGTCTAAAATAGGCTATAAAAAAGATAAGCCTAAAACAGACCCGAGGCCCGGCCCGCGTGTGAACTATGACGTGAAAATTGGCCCGAAGCCCGGCCCTAGGAGCATAAATAAGTCGGGGCCCGTCGGGCTCGGGCTGAAATGCAGGCCTCTACAGAGAGGGACCTTTCTGACGGAAAAAGGCTACCTCCTGCTCAAACCATGACGAGACGACACCTACCCGCCGTGCTATGGCTACATCATGGGCCTTACCTAAGGGAGTTTCGGTACAGGAGATCTGTGGGGCAGTAAGCTGGACTACGCTGCACACTTTAGTGCGATTTTATAGACTGAATGTGTCGGAGCCATCCTTAGCTCATGCAGTGCTAGGAGCCAGCACATCAGGTCCCATTGATGAGGTATAGCGTACGTTGTGCAATCCGGGAGTGGTCTATATCTCCCATAATGAAACACAGAGCGAAGTTGGAAAAAGAACGATGGATTACTTAACGTAATCCCGGGTTCTTTGATAACAGAGTGAGGTGTTTCACTATGGGAGATATAGACCACTCCCGGATTGCACAACGTACGCTATTTCTATATAGCATTGCTTGTTCCACCACGCAAATGACTGTTTTTAAAGTGACAATCTGTTACACATTTGAATATTTACTGTATCTTGAAGATTGTTGTATTGTATCTTCTATAAAGATGAAGATTGACATTTCGATATTTAAAAAAATAAGCACATAATGTTGTAAAAAATAAACAACTTATGTTCTGTTAGATGTTCTGTGTTTTGACTACTTTTAGAATTTTGTATAATAATATCTCTAGGTAATGAAGATATATTAACATAATCGTAGGCCTGTATTTTATATAAAACATATATAAAATACATTAAAAAAAGGGCCTCATTGATTAATTTTGCCTGGGGCGCCCACTCAGTGTTGGTTCGGCTCTGTGTTTACACCAAAGCGACTAGAATCAACGGTGTATCATTTCCATAGCAATGATTTTACTTCAGTGTATCTGTCAGCTTTCTGTAGCTCTGCCGAACTTCCATCGAAAACAACTTAGAGCGGCTAGTAGGCTATTAATATAGTATAACATCATGCTTTTTCTTGTTTTCCGTTAGAAATTAATGTGAATTCTTCTTGTTTGCTGATTAGCTGCTGCTTGTGATGATAGTTTCAATGCCAAATTTATAAAGCATTATTTAACACTCATAAATATATTTTGTTGTTGTTGTTGCTTTTTTTTGCTACTTGGAAACTAATGATAATGATATTTTAACTATCCAGTCAAATCAAATCTGTTTTGTGGCATTTAGTGACATGCTTTTTAAATTATATATATATAGTATATGCCTTTTAGTGAATAATAACAATAATTAATAATATACAGTAAATAAAAATATATAATATTTGATTAAAAATAAGATTTAAATATAGATTAAAAGTTTTGTGTCGGTAATGTTTTTGAAAAAAGTCTCTTAAGCTCACCACTGCATTTATTTGGTCAAAACTATAAAAACTGTATATTCATTTCAAAGAACTTTTTTATTTGAATAAACTTTAAAATGTATTTTTCCCCTGTTGCTCCAGTCTTCAGTGTCACATGGTCCTTCAGAACATATGCTAAATAATAAACATTTGTCTGAACATGGTTGTGCTGCTTATTGAAATTGTGGAAGAATATGTGGAAGTATTTTTTTTTTTATCAGGATGTTTTGATGAACGAAGATTACAATTGAATTTGAAATCGAAAATGGAAATGTTAATTATTTTAAATTACATTTCTTGCACATTTACAAAGCAGGAGAGAGAGCACCAATATCATAAGGCCAAAAAAAGGAGCAATATTTGAAATGGAATGGACAGTTAAAGATGTAAATCAGCATGGGGATTCAACATATTTTTCAAAAACAGAATATCTTCTAAAACTAAGCGATAACACTCCATGTGTAACGTTGAATGTGTAAGTATACTTGGCAATAAGCTCTTTCTGATTCTGAAGAACATTTTTTATTTTTTTTACAAATTCAGATCAAAGATTCGATTCGAGATGATTCACAAACTTGTCTTAAATAATTTTGAGTCTGAATCCATGAAGATGAAAAACAAACAATCATTTTATATGTCAAGGAAGATGTAGGCTACCATTGCCCAAATAAAAATTTCCAGGAAGTGAAATTAAACCAAGGTTTAACTCATGAATATAAAACACACACCGTGAAGGTTACTGGCATTTTGTTTAATATTCATGACTGAGACAAGACTTTCACATAAAGTCCAGAAATTTCTAACCAACGTCAGCCTTTGAGCCAATCAGTAGAACCATCACTTTGAGACGTCACACTCCGTAATGAATATTTATGCGCCAAGCCTTCATTCAAATTCACTTCCAGGAATCTCACATTTGTACTGTAATAAAACATTATTAATCAGTAAGTAAGTAAGTAATAGCTTAGTCTCGTGTTATTTAATTTAATTGTTTCCATGCGCTACTTTCCATTCCAGCTTTCTAATAGAAACTAGGAAGTAATTCTCAAACTAAAAAGAGAGATTCTGTTACCTTGCCGTGTGTCGAGTAAGAACGCAGGAAAGTACTGCAAACGCGTAGAGCCATTTTAACAGTGGAAAGTCAAATTTGACTGCCGGTATCACCTGTTCTAACCTGTCCGGAATAACAAACTCAAAGAAGCAAGTCCAACTGGAGAACGAGAAGCGCTAGACACCCTGCCGTAATCACTCTATTACACACGCCATCGGATGCAACATGGTATAGGCTATCATCTTAATAAAATAAACAATGTGGCCCAGGAGATGTCTAAATAATAGTTACATATATTTGAACGATGTATTTTCAATTCAAAATCTGTTCAAGTTTCTCAGTGTCATTAGTGTACGTTATCATCCCGCTCCTGAAGTAGCACGTCGTTGTCCCATGATACCTATTACTTTTCTCAGCGCTGCTCAGGAAGGGCCAATCTCTTGTGGCTCCAAACAAGGAATAGTCACGTTTGCCCTGTCCAAAAGGTAAAAGAGCACCTTTCACAACTACAAATAATATTTTCTAATAACACTAATTTCAGATTTAGTCCCAAAAGAGTCTTCATTTGTCACAGGCTGTTGAAATAACTAATTTATCATAAAATACCACAGGAACATTAATTTACATGATCTCAATACATCGGATAGTTTCTTTGAATCAAAGCAAATATAATTGTAAAATAGAAAAACACCATAATCTTCAATAGCAGTGTTCATCATCTGGTTTACTGAAAAAAAGAAGAAAAAGACTTGAGAACTGTACTGCTATATTTCCATCAAGACTGTCTTTGTAGATTTGGCATACATAGAGCAATGTCAAAGCTGAAAACATGGTCTGGAAAAGTAGCACGTGGGACCACATAAATATTGTCTGATGAAGAAATATCACATCGATAGATCCACAGTATTTCATGATCCAAACATGGAAGTGTTCGTCAGTTTCCATAAAATTATGTATTAAGAGTAATGCAACAGTTACTTCTTTAATTATCATTGTTACTTCATTACTATAATTTGGAGCAGTTTTATCAGATGATATGACTATACTGGAAAGACACTGCATCTCAGATGTAATGTGAGAATTGCGTTTTTGAAATGGTAATATTGTGATGTTTTGTTGTGTCTGTTTGAAAAGGTCAAATAATGCAGTCATGCCATATTAAGTTAATAAAAATAATTAAGTTAAAAAAAAAAAAATCACACTCTTTTTCTAAACAATAAACCAGTCTTGTTCCTGTACACTTTTTATTGTAATATACAAATAACATTATGGCTTGATGAAGCCAGAACAAACCGATCATTAAGTTGTAGCAGAAAGTGTGCAACATCTGTGCAGTAAGCACTGGTGTGGTTACAAGCAAATGTCACCCAAATAATCCAAATGTAACTCAAAATAATATTGAACATTTCTGGAATATCTTAATTATTCATTAAAATACAAACCAGAACATGAAAACTTATCCAGAACATATACGTGTGTGTGTGTGTGTGTATATATATATATATATTTATTTATTTTCACAGCATCACGTTTTTGAGATGTTCAGGGGAAAGTATTGCTAAATTCGATTCCTTGATAGCAGGGCTGTATGATTCACTTTACGTTTCTTTGTTCCACAGCAGCACTTAACATGATGGGACACTGGTGAGGCCACAGAGAAATGGTCAGGTGAGGAAATCATTTTATTCATTTCAAACACAGCAAACTGGAAGCTAGTCAAAATATTGACTCAAAATATAACCTATAAATATGCTGACAAAATTAAGAAATTCTATTGAGTAGCTCGCTCTTATAATACATGACCTCGGAACTGAATGCATTTTAACAATGGTTGGCTTGCTTACGATACATGAAATGTTGATGTAACTCATGGTTGAGAACATTTTGCTTGGGGTTATTCTTCCAAGTCAAAACAGAGAAACAAAGGAAACAGAATTCATCTACTGTTTCTAAATAACACTGCATTTTTTACTTGCACGGGAATAAAGAACCTTAGCTCCCATATGAACCAACCATTACATAATGAGAAAAATAATTTCCTCCTCAGAGTAAGATAAATGGTGCTATTCTCAATGTACAGAACTGTTAGAAAAACTTCCATTTAAGTCTTCATTTTAAATGTTAATATTTACAGACTACAACATACAAGTCAATTTGTCAAAACTTCCTTTACATTTTCCTTATTAGCATTGCACAACATTGCCTATATGCAGCCAAGTTTATTTCTTAAGATATATGAAACATGTTTGAGTCAGCTAACTGATGCATTATTGTCATTTGGGAAGACAGGCGGAATTACAACCTGATGCGGCAACATAGCATATTTACAGCCTTTTTTGTTTGTTAAAAAAAAAAAAAGTGTCTGACCATATGGTTTTCAAAACCAGTATTGCGGAACACTTTCAAATGCCAAATCAAAATCTATTCTATAAAGGATGACAAATTCATTAAGAACTACTCCATGAATGTCCTACTATTTATCTGCATTTAATAATTTATGATAATGGTGCAATTGGTACAACACATACTATGCTTTCATACCAACACGCAACCAACAATGTGAAACCAAAATAAGATCAGATGCAGCACAGTGTGACAGTTTCAATGTATTTTTTCCAATTGAAATGTATTTGTGGATGCTGAGCAGATTGCACCATTCTTGATCCTTGATGCAATTTTACAATATTATCAAATCATTAACTTTTATTAAAACACAATCTTTGTAATGATCTGATAATACTTGCTTAAAAGTACAACTCAAATCTCTCTTTTTAGTACAAAAGTATATGTACCACTCAAAGGTATTTCTACATTGCCCCTCATCCTATGATTTCGTCAAATGTTGCTCTTCAATTTATGTAAAAGATAAGGGATTGCAGCACGGTCTTGCTCGGTTGTGCCTTGCACCAATATTTATTGTAAGATGGGTCAAAATACACTGATGTATAGTTCGTGGGGGAAAATCTTGGCACCAGCAAATCTGATAAAACTTAATGACTTCATATAGGATGTATGGAAAAATCTCAGTAAGAGTCCTCATATGACCAAGTAATAAATGTAAAAGGAAGAGAGGAAAAGAGACATTAAACCTGTCGAGAGTGCCACAAAACCAATTGGGGCTAGACAACACTCTCGCGGTTGGTGGAAACAAGAACCGCTCTGCGGCAAATAGGGCAGGTTGAGTTCTCTGAAAGCCAGCGGTCGATACAGTGCACATGGTACTCGTGAGAGCAGGGCAGCTTTCGCAATTTGTTGCCTTCAGCATACTCTGTAATGCAGACACTGCAGGTTTTGAGTGCATCGCTTTCACCAAAGTTTCGCATGGATAGGTTGTCAATCTGCTCTTTGGTGAGACCTCTGGGCTGGTCATCATCTTCCTCGTTGAGCAAGAAGAAGTGTGCAAGCCGCAGAAAGGGCAGAGATCCAGTTTCATCCAGGCTGATGGGAGCCCGTTGTCTGCCTCGGTTCTCCCGAGGACCAGCAGCACCGGGAAGTCCACCTTCGACTTCCCTTTCCTCTGTCCGTGCCTCTAAACCACCCTGGTTCGAGACTCCATGCCCAGGAAGATGGGAATCCGCTTCACTTGCAGCAGTTTCAGGAGAAGCATCAGGGTTACCCAGTGCATCTGTAAGGTCTGCTGGTGGGCTGTCTTCACGGTTTGAGTCTGGATAGTCCGAGTCCATAAAGTAGCTAAGTTCACCGAAGCCAGTCATGATTTGACGAATCATAGACTGCAGAGCCAAAGAAGTGGCTTCACCAAGTCCAGCATCTGAGATCCTCCGAATGGGAATGCGGATAGTGCTGACGTATGTTCTCACTCCAGCCCGCTCAGAGCGGGAGAAAGTCCGACGGAAACCCCCGCGCTCAGTCTCATATAATAAAGTGTTATTGGAGGTCTGAGAACGAGACCTTGTACGGTTAGCAATGCTGTCTCTCTGGCGGTACTCTCCGGGACGCACCCTACGTACCTGCAAATCCAGCATTATGGTTGGAGGACGACGACCTGAAGCTCCTGCTTCCCCAGCATTTGTCTCTCTTTCCTGTGGTGTTCCAGGTAACTCAGGTGCTGCTCCCAACTCTTGAGTTTCCATATCCACGGTGCTCTGCCTAGACAAAAACAATTGCCGAGTCCTTGAGCTTCCCTCTACCTGGGGCTCAGGCAGGATCTCAGGATGGCGAGAAGGTATGCCATGCTGAGTAGGCGGAAGTCCATCCAATCTTTCAAGGTTGAGTGGTGAACGTCCTCTTGCAGTACGAGCCCTTGTCCGTCGCTGCTCCGGGCTTCTACTGCGAGCCCTTATTTGACCCCTACGTGGTTGCTCCACTGTAGGCAAGGTTGGAGGAGCCAAGGTTGGAGCAGCCAAGGTTGGAGCAGCCAAGGTGGGAGGAGCCAAGGTTGGAGGAGCTAAAGTTGGGGGAGCCAAAGTTGGGGGAGCCAAGGTTGGGGGAGCCAAAGTTGGAGGAGCCACGGTTGGAGGAGCCACGGTTGGAGGAGCCACGGTTGAGGGAGCCAAGATTGAGGGAGCCAAGGTTGAGGGAGCCAAGGTTGGGGGAGCCAAGGTTGGGGGAGCCAAGGTTGGGGGATCTAAGGTTGGGGGAGCTATGGTTGGGGGAGCTATGGTTGGAGGAGCTATGGTTGGAGGAGTTATGGTTGGAGGAGTTATGGTTGGAGGAGTTATGGTTGGGGGAACTATGTTTGGGGGAACTATGGTTAGGGGAACTATGGTTGGGGGAACTATGGTTGGGGGAACTATGGTTGGGGGAACTATGGTTGGGGGAACTATGGTTGGGGGAGCTACGGTTGGGGGAGCTACGGTTGGGGGAGCTACGGTTGGGGGAGCTACGGTTGGGGAAGCTAAGTTTGGGGGAGCTATGGTTGGGGAAGCTAAGTTTGGGGGAGCTATGGTTGGGGGATCTGGAGCATTAACGTCCCCATTTAGAGACAGGGTGCTGGGAACTGCCAGCTCTGGCTCTACTATAACAGCCAGCTCATCAACCACTGGTTCCTCAACCACCTCTGCAGTCTCCATAAGACTCTCCGGCTCAGACACAGGGCCATCTGCTCTTTCCTGGCCCCCTTCCAGCCTTTCTGTCTGCGTTTGCTGTTCAGCTATGTTGCGATTGACATTGATCTCCAAGCTGAAACGGAAATCACCACTGTTGGGATTGGTTTGGCTCACAGCCCGCCATGACTGGTTACCCCGGTAACCGCTCCTTGTTGTATTCCCCGTCTGTCGTACTGTGTTGAGCCAGTCAAGAAGGGTCTCACCGCTGGGATTTTCTTCAGTGCCCTCCACCTCTGTTGCTGAGAAAAACAAGAAATTATTAAAACAGGGCAGAATCACAAGTAAAGTCACCTGGATGGGTATGGATTTTATATACTAACAGGGCAATTTAGTTGACTTACCACCAGGCCCCTCCCTTCTTTCCTCAGTAGTGCCATTGCTGGGAGACTCAGGGCCATCCTTGACCTGCCGAAGGCGGCTCAACAGTTCATCTGCTGTAATTTCACCTAACCAAGAAACAAATTAGTTAGAATTATGACACCAGAGAAAAAGTGGGTATTTTGCAGGGATGTGTAACCTAGGAAAAGTCAATCAGACCAATGAAATGTATTGCTTACTGTTGTCCATATATGCAAATTTTCAATGTTTTTCCGTTAAGACCTCTTAAAGACAACCAACTTTCAGAAGCTATGAACATTTAAAACAGTCTTGTTCTTTGGAGAAAAAGGTTAAAAAACACCGACAACCCTTCTTGCACTGAGAGGAAATTCCAAATGGTCATTCAATAAAAGGCTCTCTAGAAATCTCCTCCCTCTAACACCACCTGTCTCTGACTAGCAACAGCATGCTGCAAATCATAGTTCACTGGTGTCATATAACATATAACAGTCTATAACAAAGTCCCAACCAAACTTCCTGTTTCAATGGGAAATAGAAAAGTGTACTAAGCTCGTCACCAATGGTGGTTAATGGGGTACACCCCATTAACCACCATTGGTGACGAGCTTAGTAGACTTTTACAGACATATGTGTTGAGCGTGATTATTAACAATTTAGTACCAATCACAGACATATCTGTTGAGCGTGATTATTAACAATTTAGAATGATAAAGAAATATTCATGACTGAAAAAATAAAGAGCGGGACATGCATGATGTTAAAAAGATGCGGTGCTCACGCTGACTGCCACCTGAAGAGACGCCTCTCTCAGACAGCATGCAATGCTGAATTCAGTGTTCTTTCGTGGCTTTTTGCACTTGAATAGTCAAATACACACACAATTCTCAAAATGACTTAAGGGAACAAACAAAAGAGTAAACACCAGATGTGTGTCAGTATATCAGACCTCTGCATTTGGTCTTAAAGTGACAGCAACCTCATAAACCTGCTGCTGTGTGAATGCTATTAAACTGCAAAAGGCAAAGAGAAAAATCACTCACTGCACTTGACAATGTTGTATCTAGAGCTGTAATCTCCCAGTCGACTAGTTGATTTATTGGTCGATTTTTTTGCCGTGTTAAAGGTGGGGTAGGTGATTTTCTTTTTTGACCATTTTTTCAAAATCACTTGAAATCCTATTCCTAACCCACTTACAGCCACTGAGTTAGAAGCACTGAAATGAAAAATAAGCAATTTAATCATCTGTGGAACGGGCAGGACTCGAAAAACTCCAGCCAATCATTTCTAAGACCACCTAGAATCATTGGACAGTAAGTGTGTCAATCAAACGGTCGGACCATACCCCCCTCCCCCATCCCCCTCACGCACGTGTCCCCTTCGTGCACATACTCAAAGCTCGTGACCCAGTCACAGTGAGTGCAAGTCGCCCCGGTACAGAGAGAGAGAGAGTAAGTGCAATCTCGCGCATCTGAGTTTTGCAGATGCATGATTGCGTGTCCATGTTCTGTGAATGGGTGGAGTCAGGGCCAGCTTTGGAGGACAGAAGGTAGGACCTTTTGAGTTGTCTTTTCAAAATCTGCCGGACGTTTTTCAAATCCCAAACCCTACCTTTAATTTCATCAGGTGGAAAGCACTAATTGCTAATGGGGGTGTTTTCAGAGCACCCCTGTTTCACAGGTAACAGTTTGTCTTCAGAACACCCCCCTTGTTTTCACTTTTTTTGGTTTAGCCCAACCCAATGCCTAAACATAATGCGCAATTGCGCTGTGCCCACTGTTTGTATTTGTTTTATGGTTTATTCTTCAGTTATGCACTTTATTTAGTTTCTGCTCTCGTCTTGATCTGGTTTGTTTAATAAATATTTATTTGTGTGTTTAAGAGTAAAAGCTTTAGGTTAATAGTCTATTCGTGTCTCAGCCTTGAAGCTGAGCTCCTATGTTCAGCCTCGCTCCTTGCGAGGACATGCACAGAGTAGGGATGTCCCGATCCGATCCACAGCATCGGTATTGTGCCGATTCTGGCCAAGAACGCTAGATCGGAGATCGGAGGGGAGAAATAAATATGATCCAATACCCATCCAACAATGCTCGAATATTAGCAAATCCCTTGCTGCGACATCCAGTTAAGCGCAGAATGCAGATTGGGCGGTTTTGCAATCTATTTTGCAGGCAAAAATGAGTTTGGGCGTGTGGATAAAAAATTGGGCTGGTTTCGGATCAGTTCGGCGGGTTTTTGTAGCTGAAACACCGGCACTTCAGATCCTTCTTTCGGCGACCCTCTGTTCAGCAGGAACCCTCTCTCACTCACATACACACACATCTCTGATGACATGCCCACTAAACTCACAACAGACACTGCCTTCGGTGTACTAAAAACACGGTTTTGCAATCCGTCTCCTCAGTTTATAAACCGTAGGCTGTAAACTGTACACAAGATTTTGACGCATATCCAAGCAAGTGTTTGAGCGGAGTGTGGAGCACGCACTGCATGGCAGGGAGCGCGGGCGCACACACTTGCGTTACCCTTTCAACAGTGGAAACAACTTAAAATACTCTATAATTTCTGGTCATACAGAAAATAACAATACATCATTCGCAACTATTTTTATTTGTGTAAACTCACAATAACAAGAAAACGTTGTGCTTTTGTAAAATAAAATAAAACAATCAGGCGCGCTTATATGGTCTCGGTGAACTGGATCGCGTCTCAAAAATTAACTTAAACAAAATATAGCCTACCTATGTAGGCTAAAGCTGGAAATGTCCACTTTTAAACTAACAAATTCAAATCGAAAGCAAACGTCTGATTAATCCATATGAATTTCTCTCTAAAGGCGCATCCGCTTTACAGCGAAGATGGAGATACGTTTCCAGCCGACACTGATAGAAAACACTAGTTTATTAATAAACAAGTGAAATGCATCGTTATTTTTTCAGACACATTAATTATTATTAGCCTATAAATCACCTCTCTGTATGGTTCCAGAGACATGGCTCTTCTCATTTAGCACTGTGGGAAAAATATTTCCGGGTTTGGCCTTAGAAAACCAGTAAAATCTAAATTTTCTCCATATTAATTTGTGAATATTTTAAATGTTTAATAAAGGGGCAAAAAGTCATAATCTGAAAATAAGTCAATATTTATTTTTTTGCGCAGCACTTGGTGTTCCTACAGTTCAAATTAAAATGTTGGTGTTCAAATTAAAATGTTGGTGTTCAACTTTGCGGTTTAAAAATACAACCGTTCATTTTTCGTTTTACGGGTTAAAAAAGGAAAAACGAATGGACGCAAAAGTACACGGATCAATTGGTAATTTTAAAGCTTGTCAATGATTAACTTTAAACCTGTTGGTAGCTTTAAGTACTGAAGTAGCCTACCTGTATTTTTTTTTTTTTTTTTTTTTGTGGTGTTTGAATAAAGGGTGGCAGTCTTTCATAATCAACTGTTGTTGTGGACAATATACTGGAGAAGTATTTGTTCTCCATGATTTGAGTGAGATGTTTTTAGGTTGCTAATTGAGCAAAGTGCTTCCATATATTTTATTAGTATTAGTTCAAGAAAAAAAAAAAAAAAATCGGATTGATATCCGGTCTCGGAAGTGAAAAAGTGGTATCGGGACATCCCTAGCACGGAGCGGCTGAAATTATAGTATCTGTCAGTTATTATAACATATGACAATCAATTGTCTAAATGCCGCATATTCCTCAACAGTTCTTGTGCTGATATCACTAGTTGACATAGTACTATTTTCGGAAATCATAGGCTAGCTAGCTATAATATTGCAGAGTTGCACAGTTTATGAGAAAATAGTTGCACATGGATTTTTGTGATACAAAACCTCTAAGATACTTTTCAATAGTATAATGTCTTCTAAGCCAGTGGTTCCCAACCTTTTTTTGTCTTAGACCCCCTTTTTCACAAGAAAATATTTTAGGGCCCTACTTCACATTTAATGATATTATCGCTCTTGTAAGCTTGCAGCAAGGATGACAAAATATGTTTGTTTTTTCAAACGAACGGTATGTTTATGCACAAATAATAGCCTATAATATTGAAAATACAATAACAAAAACATCAGTAGGCCCTTTGTAATTTAAAAACGTAAGCCTAGGAGAAGCCTATAAATTGGCCCTATTTGAAATGCAAAAACAAAAATATTCACACTGGTGTGTGTAGGCAAAAAAAGAAAGAATATAGGCTATTACTAAATTACTGTTGTCTGGGGCCTCAATACTTGCATGTTATTTGTAAAGGCTTTATCAATGTGAGGCTTTATTTATACGCTTTCGGCGCTATAGCGAGCGTAAATAAACTTGCATTTATTAACAGAATAATGCGTCTTTCGGAAGAACATTGTAGCCGGAACTACTTCTCTCTGTGTACGTCTATGACGAGTCACACAGGAACTGGGCTACTCCGCAGCGGCAGCGATCCGAACCAGTGTAAAATAGTCCCAATGTAAATCCTTGTTATAGGTGTACAATAGTGGTTCAGGATAAGACAAAAACACGAATTGGAAAATGGATTCATGATGAACTCGCTCATTATATACATGTTGTAAATTTTGAACAGAAAAAAGTTAAGGACTTTTATTCAATGCTCATTGCTCAAACCTTTCAAAATATGACGCGACCCCCCACAGAGCTCGCTGAGGCCCCCTTGTGGGCATCGACCCCCCTGTTGGGAACCTATGTTCTAAGGAAGTTATCAAGTTATTGATGCAGAATTTTGCATCAAACGTGAGTTTATAAACTAAATTAATCTGGTCTTTATGCAGTAGCTGTCCAGAAAGACTCTGAAAACCACCGACTTACCAGGACAAGAAATGTCCATTCAATGCCATCTTCTGGCAGGCCGCACGGCTAAAGGATGCTCCAAAATAACATTCCTCTCAACTGTTCTGGGAAATAAAAGAATTTAATTGTTTCATAAGTTTGTTTACTTGTTTATGAGCACATAAACAACAGGCAAACCATTAAAGTAAAACTCAAAGCTAAATGGGAATATGTCTTCTTACAAAAAGACCTAAGATGGGAACTGAAAGACCCTGTTTTATTGACAATTTCAGAATCAAAACAGCGAGACAGCTGAGTGTGTTCTGGTCCTT